GCAAGCACCGACCAAGAACTTTGCTGCACCCCGGCTACATACTCGGCCAGTACCACGTTTAATCAAAAACTTTTCCTACAAATGAAAAATCTACGAAAAGAAAAAAAAAACGAAAGAAAAAGCAGGTGCATTGGAAATCCTGCATATGCTTGCTTTGAGAAAAATCCTTTGTTCTCCTCCTCATTCTAGGCCAGTGAAAGGAAGAGATATTGGGTTGATGCAAAATTTATGGCCGTTCTGGATGGTTCTTGTTGAGGATGGGTTCTTCTCCGGTATTTTTGTTCTTAAGGAAAAGCTAACTAGAGTCTCGTCTTCCTCTTGATGCGTGTCTTTATCTGCTGCTTATAATCATTTGATCTTAACCAAATTTATCTCGGATTTGCCCCCCCCCCCCTCCTCCTCCTCGCTCATCTTGAGAGTTGCGGCTGGAATAGACGTCATTGCGGGTAAAGCTCATCGTCGGCATGAACACACTCTTCTTCATTTTTTAACAGATGTTTTAAACGTTTCCAATACTGCATTAGACGACTGGCCTTATAAAATAAACTGATATTTTTTCTCCTGTTTCATGGGAGTAGACAGGCACCGCGAAATCGCGCGTCGCACAAGGAGTTGCGGTGCGACTGCAAAGTATATGCAGTTAGTCGATAAATGCTAAAGTTTTGATAATTTTGATAGAACACAGCTTATTTTACAGGAAAAACATTAAATTTTGTACTCAAGAGAGTACCCTTGATTATAAGCAAAAGCTGCATAGTGTTAGTTACTGGCAGAGAATATAGTGACACAAACTTCTGCCTATACTTCCCGCTCTTGCTGCAACGCCGTACGCGACGCGTAATGTTGCGTTGCCCATCAGCTGGCAAGAAACACATCTCTTTCTTCATGGCATATCAGTTTTTTAGCCGTAGAATGCATACTTTTTTGCCTATAAAGTTTTACTGTTAGATTAATTAACACGCCTTTCGGACTATTTGTGAAAAGTACATCTTCTGAAGGATAATGACGTCGTCACCATCGCTATTGCAATTTATCCGGGAACTTCAAAGAATTGCCATTTCGTAGCCACTTTTATTACGGATGCGAGCTGTCCGAAGAGTTCTACACTGCAATTTTCTGAATGACGTCTGTCGGGCACTTTTTGGTTCGTCGACTCGGAGGGGCGATTGCACCGGCGAACAGCTGCCCGCGCGCTTGCGTGCCGGCAGCTACATCGCTCGAGTTATTCTTGTCAAATTAATTAGCTTTTTATTAATTCTGAAACAACGACACAGCAAAGAACAGCTATTTTTGGAACTTTATCGAACTTACTCTCACGGATAGCTTTTTTCCAGAATTGCTGAATTCAGAAAACTTCAGTTGGACTCTTGACTTCAAAATTCCCTGGCAGCCGTCAAATGATTCAATACCTGCCAGACACGAGCAATTTCATCAATCTGGAAATATTTCAAGTCCTTGGGAATATCGCATGCATTTAACTGCTCATTCTCTGTAGCCATCACTTACATTTTATGAGCATCCAGTCAGTCACTAGCGATTAAAACGAGCATCCAAGTGCAATTCAAAAGCTTTTAATTAATTCTAGCCAGTAGGAAGTTCTAGAATTCATTTGCCCTTAAATGTGGGAGTACATTTCCTGTTAATCTTTATTGGGTGAGGGGGGGGGGGGTGAGGGGGGTATCTCTCAAAACAAAACTTTCTACGAATTACCTTCCTATCTGAGATCTACCCTTTTTCTCAAACAAATTTCCCATTCGTTAGCGGACTAGAAATTTTTGAAAATTACAAATGTCGACTTCGGTTATTTGAAAATTTGTGAACAAGACACCGTTTTTCCTTTCATCCTTTGACATCTAGATTATCTACCTTTTTTGTAGATTTGAAGCTGCAAAATATGTCAAAACAAATTGATACACTGAAGAATGTGATTTCTGCGTTGAATACTACATTGTGACTGACCAGCAAAATTTTAGCGCGAGTGGGGTTCGAACCCACGAGGACTTACGTCCATTGGAACTTAAGTCCAACGCCTTAACCACTCGGCCATCGCGCTGCGATCACGAAATTTCGCTACATTCCTAAAATTCTTTATATCGCTTCTTTATACAAAAATACCTTAGCCATGCTTCTCATATAAAAATACCACGTGATACATTTTTGTATTTTAGGAACTACTCTTCCATTTCTGGAATTACCTATGTGTATGAATTTACCTCAAAATGAGCTGCAATGTAAATGTGCGTATTATTTGACATTTTACTTTACTTATATTTTTTCAGTTTTATCTTACCATTATTTTATTTTGTTGAATTTCACTTAAGTTGTTTCAGCTAAATTTTAGCGCGAGTGGGGTTCGAACCCACGGGACTTACGTCCATTGGAACTTAAGTCTAACGCCTTAAGCACTCGGCCATCGCGCTACAGTCACGTGATCTCGCTACATTTCTAAAATTCTTTACATTGCTTCTTCACAGTAGACTGCATCAGGTACCACGTGATATATTTTCGAATTTGAAAAATTACGCAACTGATCGCTCATTCACCATCACTTTTTTACATTACTTTTTTACGCAGAATCCCTCGTTTACTACGATATTTCTGCGCTTAAAATTGAGAAAACTTTTTACTTATCACCACCACGTTCCTTCAGCCTAGGTATACCAAGTCAGTATTCACTAATTGCTCTATCAGCACTCAAGATATACTGTATTGCTTCTGGTTAAATTTTAGCGCGAGTGGGGTTCGAACCCACGAGGACTTACGTCCATTGGAACTTAAGTCCAACGACTTAACCACTCGGCCATCGCGCTACACTGACAGATCTATCACCAAAATCCAAAGCCGATATCCGATATATAGATGTAGTTACTGAAACAGGACATCTATTCAATTCTCATCTGCCGAACATTAGTTTAGTTACTGATCATTCATAACATTGATCTTCGAAGGTGTATCTCCTCTCGCACCTTACATATACAGCAGTGGCGTACCCAGGATTTCCGCTCGGGGGGGGGGGGGCGACAAAAAAATTTTTCGAGTGAAGGTGCGTGGCGTTAGCCACGCACTCCGAAAAAATTTTAGGGGTGCTTCCCAAAATTTTCGCGGGTCTCTAACCCCTAAAATATGGAGAAAGGGGGCGTGGCGTCAGCCACGAACCCGAAAAATTTTTTTTACAAGGCTAATTTGAATTTTTAAAAATTTTTAAAAATTATTTTAATTATTTACAAGTATAAACAAGTTATTTGCACATTTTTTTAACCCTTATAAGTGACTTTCAAAGATTTCGCGACCCATTCTCGGGGGGGGGGGGCGCCCACAGTATGCCAACGTAACCTACGCTAAGTCCGAAATCAAATTTCTGCAAAACATTTTTGACTATTTTGCAGAAGGAGTTACTCAAAAGACGAGCATCACACATTATTCAACCAGATTACGGTGGTATACTGTAGCGGTGCCAAAGTGCCAGCAGGCTCAAACTTACAAAGCGTCAAAAGTTCAGCAAGCTTGGATGTCTCAAAGAGTGCACAATAAAATCTATATTTAGAGCTAAAAAGCATGTCAATCAACAAAGTGATAAAGGTAACAAATAATCCATCTGAATGATTCCTATCGTAGAAATTTGTCAGGTTTTCATTTGATTTGATCTAGAAAACTCTGCCATGTTGTGGAAAAATGGCGCCCATTCGGGCATCGCTCGAAGAGTCGTCCGTCTTCACAAATTATTTTACAGCGCATGAAATGACGGGCTATTCTTCATGACAAATACGCCGACCTATCCATAAGATGTTTTCGAGCAGCTCAAAAGTGTCCCTGTTGTCCTTGCGATAACTTCCATTTCCCCTCACTTCTATTCCTCATAAAGTCTGTCGATGAAGTTATCTAGAGTGCGTGCATTCCTTTCAGTCGCAAAACTTTCTTTCTATCTACGTTATTTATTCTTTTTTCTATTTTTCTGGAAATTTTTCGTATTTTTATTCATATTTTTAACTTTCTTATTTATATTCTTATTATATTTTGTATTTTAATTATATTCTTGCTTTATTTTATATTTGATTATTTACTCATTTTCTTATTTAGAATATAGAAACAATGCGCTTTCATCAGAAATGAACGCTACCCCTTCAGAAAGAAACAAGCAAAACAAAATCGCATTTACGATGAAAATTCGCGAATTTCATGCTCACTTGGAGCTAGAAATATTTTCTGAGATTCGTCTTTTTTCCACATTCATAAAAATAGTCCCTTTGCTTGAGAGACGAAATAATTTGGGTTTTTTGTGGCAATGATGTGATTTTTTCAAATCCAATTTTGTGAAATATTGTTTACTGCATTTCTAGCTTCACAACCGAATTGAAAACTTTACACCGCATGGCTACATTTATTTTCAACAAATCCGCATGTTGAGGTTTTTTGATTTTTTCATGAAAGATTTTTTCTTGAAATTCCTGCGTTCTTCTATTAGCGCCGCATCTGCCATATCCTCATCTTCTCTTTCCCTTGGGAAAGAATGCACTAAAATTTAATTCTGAGGAAATACCTCAGACTTTTCTAATTTTCGATACGCTTACGTTTTTGAGTACATTTTCTGAATATTTCTGAACAATTCAATACATGTTTTTCAATATATTCAATACGTCTCGTTACGTTGATATAATATTTACATAAGTGATTTTCACCAGTATTCAGCCTGCTCTTGAATGTTTTTTCCATTTTTAGCCTCACACCCTCCATGCCTTTTTAAATTTGTCTATTACTCTGTAATCTTTGAAAACTTCACCACAATACTTCCGCCTTTATGACCAGTAATACCAAAAATAAATTAATCGCATCTTGAGGCTAGTAATGCTTTCCCGATTGAATCTACACTTTCTTCTTTCCCCTCACAAATTGTTTTATTTTTGAAACACATTTTTTGAAATGTTTCCACTTTCTCAGCTTCCGCTTCCTCGTACTTTTCACACATAAAGTGTACATGTCAGAACTTTACTGTGATTCTTTTCAGGCATTGCTATAGACTCAGAACAATTGGCATGCGGGAATTGCCATCAAAAAATGCCTGAAAAAGCTGCGAAAGCTGAGGTAAGTGCTGATTTATTGCTGCCAGTTGTTCAAAAGTTTTTGTTCTGTTAGATGTTTCGCCAACACTAGGCGCTACTTTCCGTTACTATTTTTGGAATATGAAGGAGAGGAAAGGGGCAGGGACAGGATGAATTCAAAAAGCTCACAGACGTTATATAAGCGCAAAACAATATACTCTTTGATTGGATTGCGAATCCAGAGCAATGGAGAGAAGGAAAAGGAAGAGGCAGAAGATAAGAGAAGAGCTAAAGATGGGCGTTTTGCGCCGCGAATTCGGTCCTGCGTAGGAATATGGTGTGAACACCACGGTCTTTGAAACCCCTACCTTGAAGAATGGACAAATCAGTTGTTCACCCTTACTTATAGGTAACTAAGTAAGACTACCAACTCTTTCCAAAAACCACTTTTCAAAGTAGTGGTTCGGAAAAATTCCTACGAGCTTTCGACCCCTGCTTGGTCTTCTGGATGCGCTGAGTCCAGGGCTGTGCTTGAAAAGTCGAAAAAGTGCTTCTCATGCCGTTTTCTGAGCTTGGAGATTGTTGGAGGGGATGGGCGAGCGATCGCTGACTGAGTCGCGATTGCCTGCGCCGATCAGCCACTTGCCGCCAAAATTTGTAAAGTTACAGTATACTGCAGCCAGTCGCTGATTTTGGCGGGAATCTCTCGCCCGGCCCCCTCAGCAATCTTCAGGGCCGGAAAACGCCGAAAAAGCACTTTTTTGACTATTCAAGCACAGTCTCGGACGCAGCGGATCCAGAGGGCCGTGAAGGTGCGACAAGCTCGCACTCGCAATTTTCCCGAGCACTGTCTTTGAGCTAGCTCAGCACCCCTTCTATGGCAAATTTTTGTTGGCCCAATCAGGCTCTAAATTGCTTAGTTATTTTAGTCTGGTTTGCTCATGTACGGAAATAACTTTGTAAAGCAAACTTTTCTTTTTGATTTCGATGGTACAAAGGAATTTCGCAAGAGTACAAGTACAATCTGTGTCAACCACGTGCTCCGTTCGTAACATACGCATCCGCAGCGCGTGGGCATGCGTAGCGATCTCCGACTTGCGTCATGTTCAATCAAGCGCTACGCTCGCGCCTGTAGCGTTGCGGTTGAGTTGTCGGAAGGTGAGCACATCGTTGGCACCAACTGTAGTTGATTCTAAGGTTTGTTATGTCTGTAACTGCACACTGTAATATCTGCGATGGCCCTTTGTCAGGACTTAAGCAGACGAAAAAGATCAAGCAATTTACCATAAATTTATAAAGAAAATATGAGTTTTTTTTTCAGAGGAATTACCCAGTAAAATCAATGCACCACCTACAGTAACCCAACCACAGAAAATATTATATTTTGCAACAAGTCAAAGTCGCCTCTAAAACTAGTTATATCTCCTCTGTCTTCTTGCCGTTTTTTGATCTACGACATAAAAAATTCTAATGGCATTATTATTCACTTGCAGCCGAGTCGAGCAGCTCATCAGGCTGATCATTAACGCTAATTAAGTTGTCGAAAAAGCGTTTCTGACTACTGCATGCTACGTCTGTCATGGACGTGTGCGCGTCCATCTGGCGCTGATCAAATTATGCACAGCGACCGAGCAGCGTTATGGCCCCCCTCTATGTGTAACGCTACATGCACATCATCTCATGGGATTGAAACAAAAATTAGCTAGTCGGGGGGGGGGAGGGTGATCGGAGGGTGTTGAATTTGAAATGTGAATTTTTGAACATGAACGCTTATTAGACAAAGATGCAAGGAAGAATGTAATGTTTGTGAATTTATATTCATGAGTAGGCACCTGATGGTTTATACTTGTTGAGGCTACAGCTTGTTTCATCCAGAAGTGCGCTTGCATTGCAATGACGCGCGTCCGCTCCGCAACGCTTTGCGCCATATTGCGACCGCGGCTATACCCTACCGTGACAAGACCAAATCTGCGTCTGTTCCTTCTCTCCAACCTTCTGCGGTAGACGACCGATCAAGTTAGCTAGTCGGGCCAGATCAAATCCTCTTCTTTTTCTATTTCAGCCTATTCAAAATTGAAAAATTATATGTAATCAGAGCCAAAAATAGCCATCCTAAAATTTTTGCCATTAATAGAAGCTCGCTCCTTTTCCGAGGGATAATACGTACACTCTTTTTCTTCTATAGAAAGGATATTATATATTACGGTCCAGGTAACATCTATTCTATGACTAGGAGACGCGAGATAGCATTGCGGACATTGTCTTAACATGTTTGAGTTTGTTCTTCCCTGTTTCCAAAGAGTGATTAAACCTGGACGAAATAAATAACAAGTATAAACCTGCTAAGTACACGATTGGGCCTGTTTAGACAATTTGTGCAATGCGGTCTCGCGTCTCCTAGTCATAGAATGAATGATATCTTTTTCGTTGAATAGTATAACTGGTGGGGGAAAGCACATAATTCTTCTAGGAGGGCATGGAAAGAAAGTTTTACGAAAAAGAGTGGCTCAGTCAGATTTTCAGGAGAATCTAAGGTTTTTTAAGGCTTTCGCAAAATCTGTAACCGAATTGAAGAGACATGGCGCTTCTGCAACCACATTGCTCACCCATCTTCATGGAAATGAGTTATCTCAATTTTTGGAACTTGAAGGCAATTTACGTGAAGGATTTTTCCTCTGCTCCATCCGAGACAGTAGCAAAGGGATTTTGAAGAGCTTAAACTTTGTGTTTTTTGCAGGATCAGTGCACATCACGTCGCTCCATTTACAATTAGATTTTGCACTTGATATAGTGTGCTTGCACTGCAGGTGAAATTTGCGCGTGGATAAATACCCGCGCCAGTGATGTCAGCATTTTGCGCGTGGATAAATACCCGCGCCAGTGATGTCAGCATTTTGCGCGTGCAGTTGGCCGGCGTCACAGGGGTTACTATTTATTTACGCACAAATTTTACCGCATTCTATCTGCAGTGCAAGCGCACCATATTAAGCGGAGAATCTACTCGACTGTAAAATCAAGGCACTTTCATTTTACTCTAATATCTTTTTCACTTTTGTTATTAGCACATCAAATTGCACAACGGAGGCAAGAAACAAAGTTAAAGAGATGTATCACGGGTGTAGGACGATTCGCACGATCGTAATGCTTTCCACACAGGACCACCGCCGCGCGCGACACACCCTGCGGCGGCTTTAGCCTAAGCAAAAGAGGGGAAGGAAAGTTTTGCGGCGTGCATTACACGTTGAGACAAGTCAGAATCAGGGTGACGCTGGAGACCGCCCGTGCGAAAAGACCGTCTCCCATGTATCACTCATTCTGTGACTAGGAGACGCGAGTCGGCATTGCACAAATCGTCTAAACAAGTTCACTCGTGTACTTAGCAGGTTTATACTTGTTATTTATCTCGTCCAGGTTTATACAGTTTTCTGAAACAGAGAACAACATCAAACATGTTAAGACAGTCCGCAATGCGGTCACGCATCTCCTAGTCATAGAATAGATAATATCTAACCTGATCCGTTTTTCCAGAAACAAACAAGATTTCTGACATACTTTTTTGATTTTGCGTCCCCGCAAGCGCTGTATAATCCATCTGTCAGTCTGCTATAGTGAGATTCTGCAGATGCAGGCAAAAAGTTTTCTGAGAAGTCCTACGAATGACTAGAAGTTGCTAGAAAAAAACTAACCATAGACGTCAAAGCATCGCTTCACTGACATTTTATTAGTGACGAAATGTGAGACGTTCTCAGGGATTCGCGCCGTGCGGGCGGTCCTCATTAAAGCTCCTCCGCCTGAGCGCACTGCATAGTTTTTGATGTACCGTGCGTGCGGTCAACAATAAAAATGCCGTGCAAGCGGAAGACAGTCTACCCGTTCGATCGGCACGCAATAAAATCGACCGTGCAAGCGGCAGGCAATGCGTCCGCACGATCGGCCAGCAATCACTTGATCGTACAAGCGGCAGGCAATCTCGCCGCGCAATCGGTACGCAATAAAACCGACCGTGCAAGCGGCAGGCAATGTGTCCGTTCGATCGGGCGGCAAACATTTGCCCGTGCAAGCGGCCAACAGTGACCTTCGGCTCATTGTTTTCACACACTGTGAGCGTAAACGGTACCTGCATGAGATACGACGCAGCGTTTAGGCTGGCTAAGCGTCGACTATCGTGTTATCAACATTTCCCTTCACCGCAAAGCTGGAATGAAGCTGCGTGAGGCCACAGTTATCAAGAGTGATGATGTGGGCTTCTCCATGGAAAGTTTGGGTAGTGCGGCAGGCATTAGTCCGTGTTCGCAGGATGTGAAAATGCTTAACATACCTAAGAAAAATGGTTAAAATACCCCATGTAAACCTACTCCAGCAGCAAGCGAGCGGCCGACCTTCCCCGCGCAAGCGGCGAGCATTAGAAACCGTGCGGGCGCCCCACGTTAACCGTGCTAACGGCCCTTGACGACCGTACAATCGCACACACCAACGAGCGATTGTAAGTTCGTCGCTGGCCGCCCGCACGGTGCGAGTCCCTGAGTTGGCGTTCGCACTGCAGAGCGATGTACGTATTTATGGTATTTTTGGTGAGAGGAGATATCTCACTGAAGCAATTTTTCTTTGAAAGAAAGGACCTTATAACTGTCCTCAGAGTTCTCAGTGATTTAAATTGGATAAGAGAGCCTCAATAAGAACTGTTGAAGGCTTTTTTAGCAGTTTATTAATTTTAATCTCATTTCGTTGCCGCTCATGTGAAATGAATGACTTTTGGGAAAAGCTGTCAATTTCCAAAAATATTTTGCCGAAAAAATATGGAGCCATTCAATAGAAAATCAACATCCGGCAGCTGTTTTGGAGATAAACGCAATAAGTGCGGACCACCAGCATAATATCAGCTATGCTAGAAGACAGCTGAGAAGTGCCCGAACAACTTTTTTTTGAGAAAACGAAAATTTCAAAAGCAGCAACCATTCGATAGGTTTTGCTAATCAATATGTATGAAAAAAAAGATGACGGTAAATTTGGTGTTTTCCGCTGCCGACAGTATTTGCGCGTGAACAACGACAACGCACCCCCCCCCCCCTGGCGCTTTTTCGCGCGCGAGCGCGAGCAGCGCGCAAATCGCAGGCAAGCTGTCGGCATTCGCAAACATGGCATTTGTTTCCGCGCAAATGTTGTCTTTGCCGCAGAAGTATTGTGAACTTTCAATACCTAGACTTCCCATAATCAAAAGATGCATAATTACTTGTACGATTTTTTCTTACCACATCGTCCAGTATTTTTTTTTAATTTTTCACTTACTGTTTTGCAGGCTGCACCTCGACCTGTACCTCCAAAAGTAGTGATCACACAACCATCGTCTGCTGAACTATTGCCGTCATCGTTGACCGCATCAATCGACACACTTCCACCAGGCGAGAAAAAGAAATGTTGTGTGATACTGTAGCAATATACTGAATGATGTATATCTATGAGATTTTCTACTCCAATTGTATATTTAACTCGCATTATTCCACTGTTGCCATGAGATTGCATAATTTTTTGAGTTGTCTTTACAACAACGTCGCCATGCTTACAATACGGGCTGCTATAATCAAATAAAGTCCTACGATATACGAATTTCTGCATTTTCGCAACAGAAGATGTGTAATGTTTGCGCGATTGTACTGCACAATGTGTACTGCACAATTTGCGCGACATTTTATAACTTACACCCTTGCAGTCTGCCCTTTTCCATGCATCTTATTGTTCTCTTCTTTCTTGAGCTAGATTGGTTACAATGTGTGTGAACAATCGTGTCTACAGTTCATTTCAAAGTAGGGAATCACTGTTGATTGCTAGGTAGCCGTAATGTGTCGCGCGCAGTCTGCAATCACACATCAGTATATTGCTCCACTAAAAGTGTAATCGGTCGGCGTGCAGGATACTAGGTAGCTTTTTGCCTGTTGAAGTATTCTAGATAGCAAATTTTCTGAATATTTCGTTAGTGATAGAACATTTCCTCGAACGCCCATAATCGGCCGCGGAACTGGTGGGGAAACTGAGTCGCGCCCCACTGCCAATCGATTAGAGCACGTTATTTTCTCGATTCGCGCATGTAGCAAGTTAAGTGACCCTAGCGACTCCTATAGGACATCATCTTTACTTTCAATCCACATAGAATCATTAGTACTATCTCAGTTTTTGACTATACTTAAGATTAGAAAGGTTTCGTTCCGAGTCGTACAGCTTGCCGAGCTCGAGTAAATCACGAAGCTTTGCTTTTTATTCGAGTTTGTGCTGCCTTTGACGTTAGGAAGTTCTTGTAGAGCTAGCTACTTTTCTACATACCTTGCACGCAAAAAGACAGTATAATGGCAAAATGAGAAGAGCCAGCGCTTGTACGTGAGTCAAAACCGCTGTAATTCGTGAGCCTGGATTTCTCAAAAGGTAAGTCCTTTTTGGTATTGGCATTGCCAATGCACAATCCGCAAATGGCTTGAACATCCAGTTCCAGTTCGGCATCAGTCCCACAGTTGATACGAGAAATCAAGATGGAACAGATCTTGCAGTACTGTAGAAATAAGTTCTAGTGCATGTTTATCTTGCAAAACATCTGTATTTTGTGACTTCATAAATGCCCACCGGGTTTATAGACACTTTTGAAGATCATTGCTCATCTAGTATGGAATGGCATCATCAAAAACATTGGGCACCTAGTGAATCGAACACAAACATCTAGGAATCCGGACCTAGTTTCCATGTACTATAGCTCTGAACACCTTTTCAAGAACTGTATGTGTTGGCGTTTCTGACTTTTTTAGTAGTTAGTCAGTCACTTCAGTACTTATACTACCTACCCATATCAGTAAGCGAGACCCCCATCACTTTTAACACTGAAGATTCATACATCATCAGATCTGTGTGTGACTAGCTCGAAAACAGCAACAGCACATGCTGTTGCTGTTTTCGAGCTATTATATTGGGACTCGATCACAGTCATACAATAGTGACGTTCGCAGTTGACGCTTTCGAATTCAGATTCTCCGTTCTGTTCCTAGTGACAACTGCTTTACAGGCCTGCATACCGGCGTGCTTGATTCTTTCGCCTTTGGAGATTTTATTTTCCGAATCTCGAAGAAAATGTGGAAGTAGATAAAAATATGATGTTGCACAGTACTATGTTATGAAATCTTAAAGTGGCAACTGCCATCGACTGGGCTAAAAGGGTGGTCAGATGTATGGTTAAAACTATCCTTTAGGAGAACATGATGACAAACCGTCCTTCTTGTGGAGGAGGTAATTCATGCACCAACTTAACGCAACCTGAAGCGATGCCATATGAGGCTGCGACAAATGAAACCATTCTGCTTCTATGATCATTGCAGAGCGAGTTGTCAAGACCGTTGAAGCGCACGGCAGTCATCATTACAGACAGTATTTCGAAGCATTCAACTACACAAAATGATCAAAACACGCTGAAATTGCGCTGCAGTGTGCCTATTCCAAAGGATTAATCGGTCATCAACTGCTGTACAACAATACAGCAGAGTAAGAAAGATTCCCTATGGAGGACTTATACCGACTATTCCAAGTGCGCGAAGGATAACATGCTCTGATCGATTGGCACTGGGGCGCGACTCAGTTTCCCCACCAGTTCCGCGGCCGATTATGGGCGTTCCATTTCCTCAGCTGAATTAGGAGATCTCCTGGTATTTTTTGGGTACTCTGGTATCGATGACTTTCATAAGATGGTGTTATGGTAACAATATTTCACATTTATATAGTTTATTAGATTGTCCCAGAAGTAAACTCTATTTCCAAATGACTTGAGCTTTAGGTCTTCGTGACAGATTTAGGGTACCATTCGATAGAACGGAGCAAGCTCTACAAAAAGGCCACTAAAGATCCACCTAAATCGTGACTCAAATAAAATGTCCAAAAATCAAAATTTTTCAGCTACCCTAAAAATCGGATATCCTTTCAAAAAATTCCTATGGACTTCCAATTCAGTTCTTATATAGTAGATACATACTAGTACGCAAAAAAATGTATTTTGTCGGATTTTTTCCGGGGCTTAAAATTGAGAAACAAACATGGTCCGAAAATGCCAAAATGCCACTTTTTCGGTTTTTCATGTAAAAATTGGTATTTCTCGATCATACGAGCACATAAAAGTGTAAAGTTTTGAGATTATACTAAAAAGTTGTAGCTTACAATGACATATGTGGGAGGGGCTGAGGGGTTGCCATTTTTGTACTATCTTTTTTTCTCGCTTCCCGTGCGCGTAAAAAATCCAGTAAAGGCTTATTTAAGTACTATTATGCGCCTACTGTATAATGACCAAGTTTGAGATCCGTAGGGTTTTTCTTCGCAAAAATCCAATTTTCGAAATGACAAAATTTTTTTTCGATTTTGACACTTTACATGGAATGCGACTCAGACAGACTCTTGGTGGTCATTTTGTAAAGCTTGATCTGCTCTTCGGATTGTATCCTAAGTGCACTAGGGAGACAAAAACAGTTTGAATTATTCAAAAAAAGGAGTATACTTTTGGGACAACCTGATACTTGCGCGGAAAGAGTGATTGTGAGGAGCAAATATTCATGGTGTGCACGCTAAGATCGTTTTTAGAATGCATGTTTTGTGGGCACTGAACCAGCAACTACTTCCTTTCCGCGCAAGTGTTGTCCGCACCGCAAAAATATTACGTAACCGTTAAACTTGCGGAACTATGCGTACTTTCATCCTTCTATGTAATGGAAGAGCATTTTCGTAGTACCAGGTCAGTGCTGATGATCGGAACAATTAATTTTCTGCTCAAGTGGCTTCATATCAATGTTGTGCCAACTATGAATAGAAGCCAGTCATGCAAGAAGTCTTACAATTGGTGGTGTCTGAGGTCTGAGTCTTTTGCAATTACCTTATGATGGGAAAGGTAGTGGAAGAAAAGCACTCTGTGAATTCACTTACAGATTCGTAAAAAAATGATTAAAAGCTTGACATATGAGGGCGCTTCGAAAACTGATAGTAGAGCACTTATTGATTTTGAAGGACTAACGCGTTTTCAAAACTTTGAGAATTTGTACTTATGCTAATGTCTATTTCAGTGTCACCGTCTGTAGCACATGGAGCACGTTCAAAAATTACATAACTTTACAAGGCTAACAGTTTATTGTGAAAAAATGTGCCAAAACTCCAGATAACGGTAAAGAATAACGAAGAACTCCGCGTGATGATATACACGCTCAAAACTGGGAGAGATCGAGAATAGCGGGAGGGCGGCAGAAGATTAGGAAAATTAATATCGCAATGAACAGTGAATTGCAAATGACATATAAAAAACGATCGGGCTGTGTAATGAGGGGCACAAAATTCGAAGACAATGAACGAGGAGAACACAAGACACTGCACTAATTGGACTTTTATGAAACATACGCCTCTTCCACCATGAAAAAAAAGCATATCAAAACAGTAGCGAACGACTGGAGTGGAGGGGATACGATTAACAGAAGACATATACGACAAGAACGTTCGAAAATCAACAATACTTAACAACATGTTTCATCCTACCGGTGCCTCGATACGAGTAGAGCCAAAATGCACACAATGGCGCAGGAACCGGAATTTTTCTCGTATAAAGATAATCATTAAAGGTTAAGAGGAACAAAAAGACAACCACAGCACACTTAGATGCACACACAAAGTATGGAAAGAGCAGCGTTCAAAAAATCAACGCATCTCATCTTCATCGACTAAAGCATTCGGATCCACCATACCTGGGATGGCGTTTTTCTTTGCTTGTACAGCTTGAATCTCAGCTTCTCTCTCTTCGAGGAACAGATCGGACGTATCTTCACCATTGAACTCCTTCAAATTCAATTTGCAGATCGTTATAAGAAATTAAAGAAGAAAGTCACAAGGGGCAATTACCTTTATCTGGACAAGGAAATCACGTAAATGGTTGCGCATTCCACTCTGATCAGTGTTAAAACTGAAGAAACCCTTGATGATGACACGAATTTGACCCCTAAAAGAATGGCATAAACCTTCTGTAAAACGAAGATTTCAATAAACTCAAAAATCACAAATGCATAAAGATATATAGTGGACTTACTCTGTAAGATTGGTGAAATGCTGTACAAATATGCTAGCGATGTACTCATAGATGTAGTCAACGTTGCTTTGTTTGGGATTCTCATCGTTGAGAGGCACAGTGATCAGGAATTCACATGCTTTGAATAGTCTACATAACACCTCGGCATAATAGGTCAAGCCTGCAAAAAGAGGTTTCAATCGCTTAAAAACGACATTATTATTAGTTCCAAAAAATTCTAATTTGCAACAAATAGTCAACAGCAGATTCAGAAAAAAAAACTCAAAGTTGGGGTAAAAGTAGTAAAGACTGCTCCTGCGACCAAAGAAATACTCGAAAATATTCTTTGCCAATGGTAACACACAAAAAGAAACAAAAAAAGCACCCACCAGCTACGTGAACTTGACTGCTATCCGCAACAACTGCTAGCACATGTTGAAGAATTTGCATGTAAAATCGTTTATAGAATGGTTGTGACTGATCACGTGGAAGATGTTCTACTCGATCTAGCATATCCTTTAGGATGTCGAGACCTACAATATGCCATTTGAAAAGTATGTAACAATTAGGGGCTTTATGTATCAATCTTCCGTTCGGGTAGGCGTTTCCGTACAAGTGGTAATCCAGTCAGAAGCGGACGCCCGAGGGCCCCTGATGCACGAACGCGGGCGCCTGGCTGCAGATCCCAGTAGGCAGAACTGGATAGGTCTGCAACGCCTGGGCACTACTTAGAGGCAAAGTCCAGGCAGATCTGGATCTGTGGGTATTTTACGTGGCTCAAGCGGCAGCGCAGGTAGTGCTCTAACGGCTGAGATATTCTCCTCGAAACTGGACCCCGCGATCGTATCCGCATGGATTCATGGCAGTTTCGCGCCAGGATCCACGCTTTGCGCCATGAATCCATGCGAAATACGGTCGCGGGGGCCAGTTTCGAGGGGAATATCTCAGCCGTTAGAGCACTACCTGAGCTGCCGGTTGGGCATGGGCTTAGTTAGGGCCCCAAAAATACTGTCCACATGAGATCCCCATGTGTTCACACTCGCCTGGACGCTGCCTTTAATCTCGCTTGACTATAAATTGCGTATATTAGCGCGTCTTTTGATTAGGAGGCCGAAAATGTTGGCAAATCGAAATTCAATCACTAATTATCGAGTAAGATTTGATAGTTGTTATGCTGCAAGAGTTTACAAAAGCTTCAGAGCCCAATCTCTCCAGTCCGGGTTCTGAGTCTCTATAAATTTCAAGACTGAATCAAATCATAACAGACAAATCTCTTGCAACTTAACGTTTACTGAATCTTGATTAATGACTATAACTGCATCGTTCGATTTTCGTTTTCGATCAACGTTTTCGGCCTAATCAAAGAGACGCGCATTTCAAACAATTTAACACAGACGAGAACGGAAAGGTGTCCAGGCATTGCAGGCCTACCCGATTCTGCCTGATAGGGCTCTTGCACGGCCAGGCACCCACGCTCGCGCATCGTGGGCCTTGGGCCCGCGTCACTGGATTAGGACTTGCTTGTACGGGAACACCTACCCGAACGGGAGATACAAACCGTCCCCGATGAATTTTGCAAATTGACAAATCCATTACAAACTGAGTGAAATTACCAATTTCAGCAACGTTGCGCATTGAGTGCTGGAATGCCCATACCACAGCATCGATGATGTAACTGAGTTGTTCTTGAGGCAACGCAAGGAAAACAGGGAAACACTCCACAGTTAGCGCATGAATAAGTTGGAAGAAGTTTGTGCGATGTTCTGGGAACGCCTAAAAGTATAAGGTTACTAAATAGAAGAAGAAGGAAGAGGCAAATATCTGAATAGAAACAAAAACGTACTTCCATGTCTTTATTGATCATCTCTAATGTGCATTCAAATACAGCCGCAAGTATTTGAGGCACTTGTGACGCTAACATTGACTGAAAACATATAGTAAAGTACATTGAGATAAATGCTAATCCAACACAAACAACTTACTCCAAGTTTCGTCACGATAATACTGAGAAGTGATAGCACTTTCGGTTCCCTCGCTGCAGGTACATTCTTCTGATAGTCAAATAGTACAGCGTCAAACAATGGAGGCACTATGTTCTCCAGGACCATCTGTTAAACTTCAACGATATTGTAAAGTTATAAAACAAAGAAAAAATGATGCACCTGTCTGTCTTTAGCGCTGGCCACCCAAGTTGAGATTAATATCAAAATCTCACGTTTCACAGCACGCATCGTTTTGAGTAATGGCATCTAGAACACAGATTTTCTAAGGCTGCGTTCATACTGAAGTGGAAGTTCGGTAACAGTTAAGGGCTGTGCTGGAACTGTTCCCGAACTTCGGAATCAGTATGAACGCAGCCTAACGAGGGAAAAGTTGGAAAGAATCAAACAAACCTTCAACACTTCCTGTCCATTCTGCTCAACTGCTACCGAGACTTTCTCTGATAATATACGGTACAACGAAAGTAAATCGATGTACAGACGACTAAGTTGTGTTATGAATGGATTTCCCGCTGCTTTACAACATGCGACATTGGTTTTCAGTATATTCAGCAGATTTCGCGTGACCTGAAAATAATTATCATGCATCTGAGGAATAGGAGCAAGCCAATACCAAGCTAATACACAACAACAAAATTTTGAAAGCGGTAAAAAACCAAGATGTGGTAACGACAGATATTTGCTGACCTCCGGCTCTTCCAAAACAGCCATGTTCTCGCCTGCGTTAGCAATTATCTCATCCCAGACCGAGTTTGGCAAAGCCATGAGCTTTTCAATGAGGTCCGCTTGTTGATCAGGTTCATCGCTAGCTGACGAGATGATATGTCCTACGGCTTCATAGAAAACGTGAACCTGAAGTTAAACAGATAGGGGAATGGCAAACAGCTGTTTACAAAGCTGTATAAGCTGAAGAGTGGTAGACTCTGCGTACCTGTGATGGTGCGAGGTCGCAGATTATTCCACTAAGATTTTTCAGCATTTCGTCAATGAAAGGAGTCTGCTCTCCAACTTGCATCTGCAATTCAGGAAGTTAACTAAATTTTGAGTGAGATGACATTCACAAGCCACTTACAATGACAAAATGCCGTTTGCATTTCATCGCGATCTTGATGAACGTATCGCAAGCCATATCTTGAACACCTTCGTGTGTTTCATGCATAAACTCGAACAGTTTGTTGATGACCTGCAATGGTCAAAAATGTTTGAATGTTCTCTCAGACATCAAACTTGATAAGATCGTCGCACGTCTGAAACGCTGCTCTAAAAAAGTGTGAAGCACTTTTGACGACTTATGTTGAGAGTGTACAAGAATATTGCCAAAGATCTCTTATCTAGAAATCAAATGTTATATAGTGTAAAGTAAAGATTATGACCGACCGTTTTCAAGAACTTCCAATGGGCTCTGAGGAAACGCGGGTATTGACCAACAACATACATAATGTTAGATGCTATCACAGCCTTGTTGTCTTTGCCCCGCTTCTGTTCACACAGTCCAAGCAGATCTGCAAGAAAAAACATCTCGCACAGACTTTTTGGAGACTAGTTCTGTACTTATTTCCGCAAAACAACCATGATAAAAAGAATTAAAAGCTTTTCATATTTGCGTTTGTATCGCTGTGATGCACAACTACTACACAAGCCTTAGGCCCTGGCCAGACTTCGCTCAAAAGCGCTCAAAAGCGTCCAGAAGCGCTCAGAAGCGCCCAAAAGCGCCCAAACTTCTCTAGCCTCTCCTCATTCTTTCTCATCTCTCCTCATACGAGAAAGTGAAGAGACACCAGAGAAATTTGGGCGCTTTTGGGCGAAGTCTGGCCAGGGCCTTAGGCCTCGGGCAGACCAAGCGATTACATCGTCGCGATTTATCGCAACAAGATAGGTGTTACAAGTTGCATGCCGATTGCGGATGTGAAGTTAGTCACGATTAATCGTATTGGAAAACTATAACAACCGGAATGCAAAGAGATCGGCATACAATGATATTCTTACAGTTGTCTTGTCACGGTGAATCGCGACGATATAATGAATTTCTGCCCGAGTCCTTAAACGCGATCCACATTATTGAACAACCAAAAACGCACCTCTAATGACTAAGACAAGGAACCGTTTCTCGTCTTCCTCAACCATGGTTCCAGAGATGGAGCCAACTGCCCAACACAGTGTGTTCAAGTTCTTCCAAGAAAACTCAGAGCCGTTTACCTAAATTGAAAAGCTAACTTTAGTGTTATCAATTTTCACTTCTGCCAACAATGACTGGTATTGAAATGATCGAAGCAGCCTTATCGCCAATGTAACACGGTAAGCGGCTATTCTGCGACTTGATAACGCATCCGTTAATCTATGCGACTCATAAAACTCAAAATCGCTTCACGATGTGGACGTTTCGGAAGCTAAGATTTCTTTTTTACCACTTGGCAAAGCTTAACTGATTTCGTGATATGTCCCAAAAGTACTTTCTTGCACGGATCTTTGTAGAAACTCCTCACCAGATGAGCATGCATTTGGAAATAGAAAAATTCATCAAAAACCACACCTGGCTAGCCAACTTGTCAGTCATTTTCTGTTCCGTATCTTTGCAGTCAAGATGAGTCAAATACACGAGACACTCGCGCATGTTCTTATACAATGTGATAGAGTCTGTGTCCTTGACAATCTCGCGCACAACCTGTTAACGTAAATCACGATTACCGGAAAAAGCTTAACCACCTTTATCACATCATACCTCGCCTTGATCGTTCTCTACAACTAACACTTCTTCCGGTTTTGCCATGCGTGAGATCATGATCGTCCGCAAATTCGATAGGTGCTCTCTTGAATAAAAAGGTTTGTTAAAAAAACTTAGAATCAGCACATGCAGAACTCACTTGTACAACTTCCTCCTCGGATGTTCTTTTCCACAAACATGGCCTCCACAAGAAAATGATATAGCTATAGGTGGAGACGGCGGTGTGAACGGATTGAGGCGATATAACTCGGATGTTAAGGCACACCAGTAATCCAAGCACACCTGTAACAAACAAAGATTCATCCCTACCATGTGCCAGAATTTAATCACACGGTGGCTACCATCTTCCTCTACTCAAACCCCATTCAGACCCAACATTACGACGCGCTTCCTTTAATTCAAATGATCATACATATGAGCACCTTGCAACTGCACTATCCCTCTGATAAATATAGAGCAAACATAAAAGTTATGACCAGACTACGTAAAAAGATGATAATGACATTGCGCACATGACAGACAAAGAAAAAAGATGACTAACCTTGAAAATTTCCACGTCTTCGACCTGACTGATTGAAAGAAGTAGTTCTATGGCGTATTTGTGATATTCCGTAACTTGTGGACAGGCTGGATTGTAGTTCTGCAAGACAGTGCGATTTTTTTTTGCAAACCACGGCGTGACAAAAGAACTCGTCAAAAGAGCTTGTGATCAGCATCATTGTAATCATGCCAACCACCGTGATTAATACAAGGATTATAACACATGACTAAAATATAAAAAAAAGTGTGCAAACACAAAAAAACGAAGGATAGACAAGGCATGTGGATTGAGCACGCGACGCGTGACTGAGCACAGTGTTTTCTTTCCAAAAAAATTTGCAAGAAAACGAAACTAAGGCAGCGAAAAGAAGGAGCAGGATCAGAGAAATCCCCACAATTTTTTGAAAGAATTGGTTTCAGCCAAAAACGGGAAGCATTTCTTTGAAATATCACAAACCTCAACAAGCGCCGAATGATCCTTCAAAAATGCCACGAGAAACTGTGCCAAGCATGAGATAAACTTCTGATCTTGATCAGTTCCTTTTTGGTAAGCTGTAGCAAGATCTGCCCTTTCACCAAGCAGAATTCCAATCTGAATCAAACCTTTTGCAGGCTGCACAATCCAAAAAATGATAAGATTCAACCTCCTTGATAGTAGCACAAAACATTGCACAGAGCTTCTCCTTGTAAGCGTTATCTTCAGCTTCAATTTGTATCATGGAGATTTCCGTCAAACATTGGAGCGTGACCACTCGATAAACTTCCAGCGACAGAAACTAAGATCAAAAGTTTGAGCGATAGAACAATGACAGTGTTGATTCTTACGTTTTCACTGAGCAGTTGCGTAATATTCGTTTCAAACACGTATCCCACAGGGATCCATGAAAGAAAACGGTGCAAAGTTTTCAACGTTGCTTCGACAATCGAATTTGCAGGGCATTTTTCCTAAACAAGTTTCCATTGAAGCTATGAAGATGACTCGTTTGAGAGAAATCAAATTATACTCACAAGAATTGTTATGCAAAGAGTGAAAACTTCCTGGAATTGACCACAGAACTGCTGTTTCAAATGTTGCTCCTTAGCCTGAGTTAGGTTTTGGCTGCCAAAATCGAACACTTCTTCACTAAAATCGAGACGGAAACCGTCTTTGCATTCCAACGAGCAAAGGTAAAAAAGCAACGAACCTTAGCAAACTCAAGATATTCATATTATTTACACAAATGTTATCATTCGTCTTCGATGACTCAACGATATCCGTGATAAATGAAGGCCAGTTCTTCGGCCAGTCTTGCTTTACAATCTTAAACAGAAAAATTCGAAGAAGCTCAGGGGGGGGGGGGGGATCGGGAAAGATGACTAACACTAAACCTACCTGTACAAGTACAAGATTCAGCTTGTGCAACAAAAGTGAATTCTTCTCGGATTCAGCACGTGATTCACTGAGTTTTAATATGAACTGCACAATGAAACTTTTGATGCCGTCTCGTTGCACAAGCGGTAGTGATTTCCATCTGAATCACAGATGTGGAAATACCACAAAGCCAAAAAACAAATCAGCCCAGAAATCAATACTCACTTCGTTTGTATGACGGATTCTAGAATTTGCAAAGCAAAGTACTTCGATTCCGCGAGGTCCGAGTATTCCAATATGGCGTCAACCTGCAAAAAATGTTTTTCTTGCATAAGTAGTCGTTTTTCATTTTATCTTCCGACTTAACAGGCTTTGAACCAAAAATACGTCAAAATTCAGTAAGTTATTCAACTCACTCCCAGAAATTACATCTAGCCGATGTTACTAAAATTTCGATTGCATTTGCAGCGCGCCAACACTAGCAAACTAGCCGCTAAGTGCAATTTCATTTTTGTGCCATGATCCCACACTCATTGCCGCACAATGCGTTGCAAGTTCAATGCTCACAAATACGATTTGGCTTTAGAGCGACCTCACATTATTTACAGCGTTGTGGGACAAACTTTCACTGATGTAAGGGAGATTTTAATGTCAAAACTATCAATAAGATGATACTTCAGACTGCTTGGAAGCCGAAAATCATAGTAAAAAATCAAATGGCGAATTTTTTTTTATCAACAAGCAAATCTTCTAGAATATCTGGTTTTGATAACAGCATTGGAAATTGCTTTTTTTTACATTATCACATTTTCGGACAAATGCTTAGTGAAAGGTGTGACCGAATGAAACACAAATAGATTCATTTTCCGAGAGTAACCGCTGATGTTTAAGGTCCCGATACTTCGCTAAAAGCACCCAAAACCGCCTGAAGCGCCTAAATTCCTCTAAAGTCTCTTCACTTTCTAGTGTAAGGTGAAGTAAAAATGAAGGGAGGTTAGAGAAATTTTGATTGCATTTGGGCGTTTTTAAGCGTTTTTAGGCGCTTTTGAGCGAAATCTGGCCGGAGCCTGAGGTTTGAGAAGCTAGTATGTCTGAACATCATAAATCATTTGCAAATGCCTTGGAATAGCGATATGCTTCCTTACAGGACCATCAGACTAGATGCTCGAGAATAAACCTTTCCTTGAGGAAAATTCGTGAGACTGCACTATTCGCTACTCAGATGACGAGAACTATTTAGTAATTTCTAAATGAAAAAGAGCACTGAAGCAAAAAATTGGATATCTAGTTACGGCCAAAAACTGAAAAACCAAAATTTGAGATTTTTGTTCCCTGTGCTAATGTTCTTGCTATTTCATGTAACGAATAATTAAACTTATTCGAATTCACCTGCATTGTTGGGTATCGCTTTTGAAATTCAAATTTACAAGTTTTCTCTACGGTCGAAATCCACACTAATCCTACCAATTTAGCATGACCTCAACATAACTGGAAAAAATCTTCAGGCGATCTCAAATTTGGTCACAAGTTCATAAATTGCGTGCAACAATCACTCACTGATCGAATACAAGGTTTCTTATTCGAATCATTTACCCACATAGGAACGCAAATCGATGAATCAGGCACATGCGGCCAGATACTTTTCATGCTAACGTGACTGCACGTTTTACAAAAAAAATTTTATACCCTAGTAAAACAATTTTGAAGTTTACCTTCGTCCAGGAGTTTGGATTCTCTTTCAGTTCGACAAGAATCATATTTGCCAGTTTTTGTTCCTCACCGGTGGCTCGATTCATCATTGTCACAACCTGGAAACATGAGAAGTTTTTTCAATGTTGAATTTTGCAAGTTGATTTCTAAAAATCAAGTCGAACCTGATCAAGAAGCTGCACATTAAGTTTGCCATCTTCTTGAAATTGCTTTTTGGCCTCTTCAAGTATGACCATAGGTGTTGCCGTTAGAGCTGCCATATTTGACGTCAATATTCGTCTTCAGTGATGGTTGTCGTCGTAGTTCAGTTTCAGATTTCAGCGGTAGCAGTTCAGACTCTTCTTCCACCGCACACACTCGCGCAATTTCAAAGATACAATATACAAAAATTATTTCTCTCACACACTCACACTCACACACGACCCGGGATAGATTCGGATTTAGCCCAGTTCTGAAAAAGAAAACTATCAATTTGCTAGAATTTCGTATTTTAAAAACGAAAATAGAGAATGAATCAACAACGCGCTAGCACCATGAGGCAGAACGGATCACAGGCACATGATGTCTGCCCGGAAAACAATTTGAAGGGACGAATGCGTAGCTTTGGAGCTAGTTTACCGCAGGTTTCTTTGCACCGAGTGAATATCTTCTTTTTAAGTTAACCTTTAACAAGTAGAACAAATGCAAAAGTGCGGAGTACCCGACGACGTCGTCCCGGCAAGATTCGAAAACAAGCGCACGCCGCTACGACGTCACGTTTATTTTTCGACGAGCGCGTGACAGACGTAGTCTGGTGCGTCGTTATCGAAAAATGGTTATCGCACTTCGGTGCATCTGCGAAATGTTGAAACATGCCAGATACTTAGTCATAAAAGGAAACTTTCTTTCATCCAATTCTGGAAGACTAGGGGACGCTACCGACATGTTCAGCATGTTCAAACTTGTTCCTTCTCGTGTGAAATAGCAAAACTCCTGCAAAAGACGAGTTTTGACATGTTAGGCACGCACGCGCTAGCGTCTTGGAGTCTCAGAGTCTGATTTTTGGACCTTTGACTTCTGCACACTGTGGATTTGCGTTACACAGTGGTAAAAGCGGTGACTCGACACCCGGCTTTTCATCTTATCTTGCTTCGTCTACTCTGGTGCTTGAAATGACATTCACAAGCACAAAATGAGGGAACGGACTTTTCTAGGAGTCCAGTTTGCGGGACGATTAATTTGGAATACGCCAAAGGTTCGATCCATTCTATCCGTTTTGCCATCGGCTGAACTGGCCAATAGCGAAATGGAAGTAAAGGCTACTGCATGACGAAGGCGCAGAAGCAGTATTAGATGAGCGGGCGCGGACGCGGCGCGCGCGTATCTTCACCGTTGTAGATCCTGCGCCTCGTGCGCTCTGCAGCTAATGAAGCCGCGTTCGCGGCCAAAGACATTGCGCCTTCGTCATGCAGCAGCCTATACAGTCTCGCTCTTGATCAGTTGACTGATTGACCAATAGCAGGCTAATTCAACAGCCGCTTCCCTAATGGTAAGCTCAGTGATTCGACCAGTAGCGAAGCGGATGTGGAGACAATCGCTTTGCAGTTGATCAGTTCAATGATCCAACCAATAGCGAAGCGAATGTGGATAGAATCCTCACTATTGATCAGATCACTGATTCGACCAATAGCGAGGTTATGAAAGTGGATCTTACCGTGCGTGCCTACGGTGCAATGACCCCTCCTCTTCCCTAAAGGTAGGAGACGGAATCTGCAGGACCGTTTGGTTTTGACCGTGTTCGTTGGCTAAAGGACGATATGTCGCATGAGAGGCCCCATCCAAAAAAGCACCAAATGATTTCATACTTTTGAAGCCGTTGTTTCCTCCCTTAGTTGGCCACTCTAAGCCCAGAATCTCTGAGGATCATTCAAATGATTGCAGAAATCTGCAAAGTCTTTTTTACTCCTTGTTCTCGCCCTCCTTCAAGGTCCCCAATGTTTTCATATTGTATACCGTGTGGGGAGTCAGCAAACTAACCTGATAGAGCAAGACTTCCTCTTCCCCAAAAATTTTTCGGAATAAAGCTTTTTTTGATTATTTTGCGTATGGATCATGGTTTTCAAAATTCGTGAAGAACTCAAAGCTAGGTATTGTTGCAGCTTCTAGAAAAGGACCTAAACGATGCATATCAGGAATGTCGCTTGGAATACTTTTTTTGCGTTGTCATTGCTGTAATGAATTGCGAAAAAAATGCATAAGATGTGCTGGTTTTGAGGGCTCGGAAACTTCATATCTCAGGTGCTAAGTGCACAGGTGAGGTATTTCTACTGCTGCTATCTTTTGTTTTCTAGCGTTATGTTATCTTTACACTTGGGCGATGGTTTAAGGCGACTCAAATGTTAGCTGAGACCTGGCTACAAAATATACGAGTGGGATGATTGAACATGGAACACTGGCAATAATTTGAACTGTCATCACCTTCCGAACTTACTCCGTAAAGAATTATATTTGATCATAATTGTTATCTTTACTCATTGGAACGGATGAATCATCAAATTTAACTGTAATACTGTAGTGGTAAATTGTGCGTAGGTAAATTTTTTCCATTTTTCTCATCAATAGACTGAATGAACAGTGTTACTATGAGAAAAGTTATAGTCTAAATCGTAATAAAATGGTTGTATAGCTTGAGAGCTTACATATCTCTGAAAGAGCAAAAAAAACCACTGTTAAAGCCTAATACATGTGCTCAAAATTGGCTTTTCAGTAATTACAAAAGTGCAAATGATTGTAGTACAAAACTGCACAATTCAAATGAGTATAGACTTGGCCTGAACTCAATTAGCCCATTGCGTGGTCTTGTGAGGAACTAGATAACATAATTTGGATGCGATTTTACTGTATAAGGAAGAATTGCAGAAACGTTGACACAATCTGGTCATTGGAAGCCTAAAAATACATGGTTTACAGGGCGGGCAGTCGGGGGCTTATACCTAAGTTCCTGGTTTTTTGGGGTGACTTACATTACTTACAACGTGCAAATGACTTGCTTTCCCATGTGAACAATCGTGGTTTTCCAAATTTTGTAAGAACTGCAATTAGCCGTGCAAATTTGAGCCGGGGGTCCAAGGGAATCTCAAAAAGTGTGAAACTCAAACTCTTCATTCGAAAATTCTCTGTCGTCTTTTCCTCAAAAAATTTCTCTGACTACTGGTTACATCCGGTTTCTTTTCTGCATATAACTTGATATAAGTGATTCTAATTTCCTCAAAAATTTCAAAATAGACTTAAATCCGAAAATCGCATAAAATAAGTTCTTATTTGAACTTCTTGAATGGTCTATCATGAAAATTCAAATCAGGACTTACAACATGAAAAACTTCGTGACTTGGTTTTAAGTTCTGGTTCTATAGTGTGTAATACCACCATTTGGTGGTTGAATTTTCAAAAAGCAAATTTGATGAATTTAGAATCAAGGTACAGTGACATGTTTGTTCTACATGTCTGGCACCCGACCTTCGAATATGATAATATAATTTTTTTTGGTTAATGCGTGCCATAATGGAATAGGCACATCAAATGGACCTGGCCTGTCTAACATTATAATAATCAAATTTCGTTACTTTAGTCTAAAAAATGTCCACTGGGAATTCATATTCAAATAAATGCACTCGAAAGAACTACTCACAATCAGAAAAAAGCAGGGAAAGAATGTGTTTCAAAGCGTCTCCGAATTCATGATAAGCGTTATCTCTGTGCAAATTTTAACTCGGCAGAAAGCGCGAAACCCATCAAGTGGGTAGCTCAAAATCACCAATTAAAAGGTGAGTATTTTTCCCGTGAGTGTGCGATTTTATCGTTATTCGTTATTCAGTAAGTTCAACTATATTGCAAGGTTGAAGTGCGATTCAACTTAACTGGTCTTCATCTGCAGAACAATTCTACAGGAAGATCTTTGAGATATTATAAAGGCAGCAGTATCGTCTTCACTTGCCGGCAAAGCTCCGGCACGACGCTGAAACGACGCTGGCACGGCAGTGGCTCGGGCAGCTCCGAAAGCATCCTCGGAGGCTCCAAAAACAGTTAAACTTGAAAACTCTGCCTCTGACGTATTTATCGGACTAAACTCAAAGCGACCAGATGAAAGAATTTTAACAAGACACTATACTATAGCAATCTTAACGGCGAACATTGTTCGTAGCCGAAAATCTCAATAGATTGCTAATTCTCTGATGCTCTGATTTGCAGGTAGCAGTTCCAAGTCTTCTATATACATGTTATTTGGCATTCTTCAGGTCATCAGCCAAAATAATCAGGAATTTATAGAGCTCAAAAAGCCGTTATTGTTTCGCTTGAGTCTTGTCTTACAGCTTTACTCAAGGCAATGCTCTTGTTGTCTCTATTTAGGCCCAATCAGTGATTCACTATTTTATGCGTACGTGTGACTATTCACTCCTCTTCAATAACAAAATATTCATTCAGAATTAGTTTACTAGAATATTAGGCGGGTTGAAAAATTACGAGATTTGCGACTTCCAATTATCAGTTTCCTGATCTCCACTATCAGGTGGTCTTTACTGATATGATATGGATCTGCGAGAAATATCGGAGATCGTAATGAAATGGTGTAGGAGTTCAGGATCTCCATTCCAAGATCAACAATCCTAGCATCGAAATTTGCTCGGATTTTGTTTCCTCCTTTCCGATATCAGTTTTCACAGGTTCCTCCTTTTCGATATCAGTTTTCACAGGCTCAATATGCTGTTATAAAAATAAAACTCTACGACACCTCTTCTCTTTTTTTGCACTGATCTCGCAGCGTATGGTGTGTGCTTTCAAAGCATATGTTTCTAGGCTCAACCTCAAAACTAAAATGGTTGTTGTATTCTCCAAGTAAGTTACTCACTTCATATGATAACCAAAAGCAACTGGTATGCAACCTTCTTTGACCAAGATGTGTACTCCACCTTACCAGATTATAACCACATTTTGCAACTGTTTTCATTATTCAACTGATAGCTAGCTTGTTTTTTGATTGGCGTAATATCCTAGATTCTCCCTTGGGATAGATATGGAAGTTCTACTATCCAAAGTATATAGCTTGAAACAAGATGTCATACTTATTGAGTTACGAGAAAAGAAACTAGCAAAATCAAGTTTTATTTTTTGACTGTGCAGAAGTCCCTAATTAAAACTGGAATAAACTTATGAATGATTTATTTCTAATTTATACATCAAATGGAATAATTCAGAAAGTGCGTTTTCTTATTTTCCGCTGCAATGTTTCTGAACTAATTTTCATTACCCTGCGCTGACCAGATCGTATGTGACCTATAGACACTTTCCTATGTTTTTCAGATTTCAAGGGAAAGAGCAAAACGAAATTCAGTCCTACTCCGCCATAAATGCGCTGCTGAACAAATCTCAACTGGCAATCTCTTCCATCTTCACTCGTAAGGTTCGTGACACCATATACTTCACATGAACAATCTTCCATTTGCTCTGCCGGTCATTTCTTGGTCTTCAGTCGCAAGACGCTTGAACTTGACTTTCAATTTTTCTGAATATAGGCTGATCTAGATATCAGGAGTTTGAGCTCAACTAAATTTGCTTATCATAAGAAAATTTGACAAGATATCTTGGAAAATAGTCAGATCCGCGGAAAGATGCTGCAAAGATTTTGACTAAAGTTGGGATACTTTATAATTTCTCTCCACCCAGCCTCCCGTTGCCTTCGCGAAACATAATATTTCTAATTTGAGTTGCGGTTTGTGAAGGCAGCATCATCCTCCCGTATAAGTCATACAAATTTTCCCGTTAGTCAATCGCCATCCAGCAGGATCTCGTCCAGAAGTTTGAAATCTTTTCTCTCTTGTTTCCACTATCAGCATAAAACAGTTACAGAAGAATTTCAATTGATGTCAAGTGCATCATCATCGGCTGACAGCTACTGGTATATAAAGCCCTATAATATTTGCAGTTATAATATTAAGCTTTATATACAAGAGCAGCAGAAGCAGTCCATGTTGGCTAGCGCACAAAAATTGTTTTTAGTCTTTTACTTTTATTTGTTTTTTATGCTCTAGACGATCTCCAAAGACCCTAGGCTCCAAGACTGTACTGTCATCGCTTCAAAATCATAAAAGCTCAAAAAATTTTTTTACGAGGGTTTAAGCTTTTGTCATAAGCTTTCATTTTTGAATCGTAGCTCTTTTCTTCTTTTCGCTCCACAGTATATGTTAGATATTTTTTGACATCGTAATGCATACAGGGTGTCTCAAAAAGATGTGCACACTGTTTGATTGTTAATAACTTTCTTGCTTTCGTGTCTTTTGCCGAGCTTGAGGTACCATTCTGTAGAGCGAGGATAAACTTAGATTTACAGTATGGAGGGACTTACCAGCCGCTTTTCATTACTGTAGAATTACGGTAGGAATTTCGAGGAGGATTTTCAGCAACGGAAAGCTGTATTTTACCTCAGAAAAAAGCCAAATAAGCCAGAAACTCTTGAACTGAGTTAATCATAGTCGCTGATTCTAAATATGGAAACTGCACGTCAGTACAATGTTTCAGCACAAGTCACGCACTCAGAAACATTCTTTGGCGTGCTTCTCAAAATTTTTGCAGGCCCATAACCCCTAAAATCTAGAAAAAGGGGGCATGGCGTTAACCGAGCCCCCGAAAATTTTTTTTCACAAGGCTAATTTGAATTTTCAAAGATTTCAAAAATTGTTCTAATTTTTTACAAGAATAAACAAGTCACTTGCACATTTTCATAACCCATGCGAGTAAACTTTAAAAATTTTGCGACGCATTCTCGGTCCGTTACCGCCGTTCTTTTGTTTTTTTTATCCAAAGGGAGTAACCCCTCCCCCCCCCCCCCCGCCGTTTTCTTGATAATTCTCTGAAAGTCGGTACTAATCTCTCGTCCCTTGCTCATCGACAAAGTGCACCCAACAAAGTGCAGCGGTAGGTTTCCTTCTAACCTTATGTTCTCCAGCTAACCGTCAATCAGATGTCAACAGCAGTGACATAGCATGTTCGTCTGTCTATGACTACTGGAATTTTTAGTTGAAGTAAATTTAGATGTTTATATTTCAAAGCCCTACGAACTTTTGTGAGCAAATTCTCAAGTTCGCTAAGGTAGCATTGGCTATAAATTTCGGTTTTTTTATTCACAGTGCCTGGATGGGACACTCTGCCAGAATCGCACTTATTATGCATAAGCTCATTCTTTTGTGGCACAGTAGAAAGAAAGTTCTGCATTTTTACTGCCTAGGAAGAGAAAACTTTTAGCTCGAGCTTACTTCAGACTCTCTATATCTTTGGAAATTGCTGTAGAATTTTGCAATTTTGGTAAATTTTTCCACTCATGACAATGTCAATTACTATGGTTGCTTCATGCCGATAGTTTGACCTCGCAAGCTTATGATTTGTTTCGGTTGAATGTAATTAAATGTGATTTTCAGTTCGTTGATTGTCTCTTCCTACCCCGCCCCCTTTCGTATTTCACCAGATTTTACAATGCGTGTACAGCTAGATTAAAGAAACTCATACTTTATGGAATAAAAAAATGCTCCAAGCTGCAACTTGCATCGCTTCAATCTAGAAAATTTTTTTCGTTCATATGTAATTATACAGCATCTCTAGCGGACAGTCATCAGAGCCTGAGGCAGTGGAAAAAATCTTAATTATCGCAATGGAAATTGAACTCTCCCACTCAGCACTCTTCGGTTTCGCTTACTTTACATTATTTTTTTATTATCCTGCAAAATGCAAAATGCGCATTCTGCCTTGATTTTCTTAGAATTCGCCTTAATGTTCTTCGTAGAATAGAGGAACAGGATGTATCTACACTAAAAGCAGACTGTTTGTTGGTCAACCGCTACTCAAAATTAATCAAGAATCCTTGTTAATCGTAATAAGGAAGTGCATTTTTGTTATCATATTTGTTTGTGCGAAACCCGAAGCCTGAAGAAACCCTATAGTCATTTTGACCTTTTCTTACTAGTCAGCTTGTTTTCGCGTTAACTCCATTCTCGCTCGGAAATGCTTGGTTGGTCCTTGATATGGTTCACTGTTCTAAAAGGCCCGCAAAGGTCAGTTTCTTATATTTACTAAGATTGTACAGCCGAGATACGCTGTAAGACAATTCTTTCAAGATTATGGCAGATCTTGAGCGGGATTAGGTTTCCTCTAGGATGGAAGGGCATTTTTCTTGTAATTGGCAGGGAATTTTGAAAAATCTTCAATGCTTAAGGCATTATTCTGAACATCAAAAATGAGTTTCTTGTAGATCGTAGGGCATTTCTCTCTTTATTGACGTTCCGCAAGCAGCACTTAGGCTAACCGAAAGCAATATTTACCTTCGTTGCCGAAATTCATCCAGTAAGATTTATCTTGCGAGCATTGCGAGTTGAAACTTTGTGTTTCAGTAGGATGTCGGGAAAGCTTGCCCGCTCTCCCCTCCCCCCGAAAAGTCTTTGAAGGTTATAAAATAATATCGGTTAACTACTATTATGTTGCCTAAAATTCGGCAAATATTGTACAAATGCCATTTGAACGCAAGGTACACAGTTCAGAACACTTAATAAGAGATGACCGCTTAATGGAAAAGTACCGGAGAGTCCCGACTTTTTCGGGGTGTGAGGAGACTTCATCCCTGTTACATAAATCTCGCTAGCAGAGCTTTGTGAAGAATGAGCGTTCTCTTTTTGTGTATAGTTTTGGCTGATCTCCTAGTCTTTAAAAAGTTAAAAGACCAAGTTCAGGGAGTTTTCGCGCAAGTAGTGAGCAACTAACTGGAATCTTGCGGGGGATTGTGAAAAGGAAAAGAAAAATGCTCAGTGTATTTGCTCCCAGCTTGTGTAACACATAGATCATCATCTTTTACTGTCTTCATGAAAAGTATTTCGAGTACCTTATCTATCCGCACCGTTTGAGTGTTCTGTGCAAGAACCGTCTTGAACAAAATTAGCGCTCTCAAATTATATTCTAACCTAGACACTACAAATGTATGTGCCCTACCCAGTTGCCGGCGACCCTTAGGGTCACTAGTATAAAATCGAACGCTAAAAATTATTCTTTAGTTCTGCACAAATTAGAAGTTGTGAAGTACATAGCTAGACAAGTGGACATAGTATTAGGACATGGGTGAGCAGTGAACACTAGATTAGGCATGAATAACAAAATGTGAACTATAAAAAACGTAGCCGGCCTCTTATTATTGGCCCATATAAGTGCCCGGAAACCTATCAGTGCCTTAAGAGTGCTTCGCTCTAGCTAATATTTTTCCTTAGTGGCTCACATTCGCACTGACTTCCTTTTACTTTTGCACTCATTTCTTCTCTGGCTTCTGTCTCAAACGATTGTGTACTAAATTCCGATTCAGCTATTCAGCAATGCCTCTTTTCCTTTTGGTATCCAGTTCAATTTCATTCGTTTAGCAATTTTTCGGAAGACAAGACTAACCCTAATACCACTCGGTCACAAACCAAATGACATGATTCGGGCTTCCCTTCAGCATACCTTATTTTATTTTCTGTCGGTATAACCAAGCGTTATAGTTTTCCAAAATTTTATTTTTTGACGACATTTACTGCCTAACATGTCCAGAAGTATATCAGGTCGTTACGAAAGTACTTCCCGAGTTTTCAACCCCTCATAAAAACACGCGCAACAAAGATAGGCAAAAGTTTCAAACAGCATTTGACGCAGCTTTTCTTACTCTTTCAAGCAGTCATATCATGTGCTGTTTACTTTGGTGGTCACCGAAATAATCGGCGAAAAATTGAACTCATGGTTTTTTTTTCATGTGCAACTTTGGTCATTTTTTAAAGTCTTTGTTCTAAACTTTAAGCCTTCATTAACAGTATGATAGCGTAAACAAAGTGCAATGCAAAAATTTTTCGGCATTCTTCAACTGGCTTCTCAGTGTTATTAAAATGACTTTTCCAAAATGTCTTCGATTTTGCGAAGTCGCAAACAGACGCTCTCCAAGCACTAAAAAATCTTCAGAGTTTGAAACTTTCAAAATGTCGATTATGATCATGCACTAATTATACAAAGCAACTGAGCGCTTACCGCATGAAAATTCAAATTTCGCATTGTACGGGTACAGCCTGGGACACATTCATCAAGAATTATGATGATTTTATCGCCAGAAGATCCAAGAATTGGATTGGGAAGAAAAAGCACCTGGCAGAAAGAGGAAGAAAGACTGCATCGAACAGTACCCGAGTCACTTGCCGGTTGATGTTTGATATGAAATTTGTTAACATCAGAGAATTGATGTGTGGCCGTTACCTCCAGATAGTATTATCACTCATTATCAGCAAAACCCGTATTCACAAAAGTATCATGAGGTAATTCTCAAGGTAAATCTTGCCTTGAGAATCTACCTCAAGATGTTGCATAGAATTGAAAGTACCTTGAGGCAAAATTTCCTTAAGATAGAAT